GTAGTTGTTTTTTAATTACTAAGAGATTGTTTAAATTTAAAACAATAATGGAGCAAAACATCCCACTACACTACGTAGGCTTTTAGGTTGGACATTGTTTAGTTATTCTCTGCAAATTAGTATCCCTGAGAAATCGTGATAGATCATTCTCGTTCGTGATTGTGTACAGTTGACCTACATTTGTTTTCCTAACTAGAATTTTCCCATCCCATGTGAAGCATTGATGTATTGTGTCATTATTCTCCCGCTTAAGTTTTCTGACTCTATGCAGGAGGTTCTGACGTTTTTTGGTAAGACACTCGTTTATGTATACCTCTTTCTTTACTTTAATAGATACAATTATTAAGTCTTTTTTCCTGTCATGTGAGTGGAATCTAAGTATAACACTTTTTCTAATATGGGATCCTAGTAACCTGGCTTCCTTTATTTCTGACTCTGGTACTGTAACTTTTGTTTGGTCCTTTATGATCTGGAGAGTAATTTCTTTACTGTTTGTTTGGTTCATATCACTGGGAAAAAGTGGACTGTTAACTATTACTGCGTCCGATAGTTTATCTTGTTCAGTTTTATCTTCTTGGAGAGCAAAGTAGTCACTGAACTGGTTATCTAAGTTGTTCTTCCAGTCTTTTACTGCTTCTTCAACCTTTGTATTAAGAGATTTTATTTGTTCTGTATGGCTATCTATGACTGTTTGGATGGAACAGACTGCCCGCACATGACAAAGCCAGTCATAGCATGAACCAGTTCAAGAAGAGTGCCAAAAGGTACCTAATGAATGTAGCTACAGAAAAGGAGGGGAATGATTTTTTATTTTTTTAGCTAACACAAGTGTAATTTTACCTTATTCTCAGTAATGACCCTTGTATTGTAGATAGTCTTTTTAGTATGATAGTAAGATATTATCTTCATTATAGAATAATAAAATATTATAAACTGGTGGCCTGGTGGTTAACGCTCTTGCTTCACACGGCGAGGGCCTGGGTTCAATTCCCAGCCAGAGTAGAAACATTGGACGTGTTTCTTTCCACCTGTTGTCTATGTTCCCCATCAGTAAAATGGGTACCTGGGTATTAGTCGACTGGTGTGGGTCGCATCTTGGGACACTGACCTAATTTGCCTGAAATGCGGAGCATAACAAGGGACTTTCTATATAGTAGTATGTCATTGTTGTCAGCTAGGACTGTATACCTTGTACATGTACTTGTAGTAAATAGAAATATTATTATTATATTATTATTATAATAATAAGGTAAAAGGACCCCAATGGAAACAAGTCACTCTGTCTGACTTTTTTGTGTTATCCCAGGTTCTCTACACATATGCTGCTATGTATGATAATGTATGTAACTGTATTTGTGTATACTTGAATAAACTTACTTTACTGAGCCCGAATAAACTTGGAGTCTCCCACCTGCGTCGTGTTGGGTTTGTAAGTGACAGTGACAACGTAAGACACATCGAACCTTACTTCCTGATGTACGAAGACATACTGCCTAAAGCTGGACGATGAAAGAATAGAGAATAGCAATACTTTCCTAAATAGAAACAGGAACTAGACGTTACCATAAAGACAAGTTAGACCTCCTCGCCAATCCCCAGCCAAGCCAGACGCCCCTCATAGAAATAGTCCTTTTTTTTTCTGGTTATCTTAGGTAATTCACTATTTATGATAATTGTACTTATTTTGGGGGGTTTCCCAGATAATTTACGCTATATATGATAATTGTACTTATGTGTACCTGTGCCTAAATAAACTTACGTACACACCCCCAGTGTATTATTATAATCAAAAAGAAGCGCTAAGCCACAAGGGCTATACAGCACCCCCAGTGTAAATCAAGGACCCCAATGGAAATAAGTCACCTTAACTTTTTAGGGTTATCCTAGGTAATCTACACATATCCTGCTATGTATGATCGTTTATGTAACTATTTATGTGCACATTTACCTGAATAAATTTACTTACCCTCACCTGAGTGAGCCTCCCACCAGTCGACTGACACTGGGGTTATTCAGGGCCACCAAAGATAACTGTGGCTTTATTAAATCCTCCCCTCCCCCGGAATCCGGGAAAATGTATTGTCCAAAGCTGGGCGGGGCTGAGTAAGGAAACAAAGTTTCCACCGGAAAGAGAAACGGGAACATTAAATTCCCAACACAGATACAGCGGACCTAGGCCTAAACACCAGTACAGACAGGTGTCTCACTCCATGAGCAAACATGTCTACATTTCACTATCGCCGCTGCTAGTATTCTTTTACTTACTGTTCCACTTACAGTTAAATTTGCAAGAGCACTGATAGTTAACACCTTATCTAACCCTGCTTCCTGATGTACAGGGAGGAAACATTGCCCAGAGCTGGAAGATGAAGGAAGTTTAGCTAGTTTAACATCTTTATTATGCACAGAGGTACATAATGGGTCCAGGGACTGGACCCCAAAGTTTGGATAGCAGAGCAAGTTACAAAGGTAATGACCTCCAGGTAGATCTAGTCACAATCATGACAAGTTACAAAGAACTTCAACTGAATTTTATTGACTTAAGACTCAAGGAGATTGACACAAGTCAGTCCATCTGTTATCATTCAATCATGCAGGAGGAGCCACATGTCTATGGTGCATCCAACAAAATAAGCAGACTCTTGGATGTCACTACCGCCCGGCTCCGGCTGGGTTACAAGTATCTTTGGCAGGTTAAATCACCACCACCAGATGTAGACCAAACGAAATGTAAACTTTGCCAGATGGACTATTGTCACACCCTGCGTCATTATGTACTGGAGTGCGATAAAATTAATGCATTCAGAGACAACCCCATACCCATCCTAGGTTATCTACACATACTACGGGAATAGTCTGCCAAATGTACCCGAGGGATATTATTACACATACATATGCACACGTATACATAAGCACATAGGAGCAGGGAGAGAGAAGACCTAGTAGCGATCAGTAGAGGCGGGACCAGGAGCTGAGTCTCGACTCCTGCAACCACAATTAGAGGAGTACAATTAGGTGAGTAGAAACATACTCTCAAGGATACATACACATACGTGGAGGTCTAGAAACTTGTGTTGAACCTAGATACATCAAAGACAATGGGACCTGATAAGGTGACATCGTGGATTCTGTCAGAGGGAGCAGAAAATTGTCCGAACCACAGGCTATAATCTGCTGTAAGTCAATGGATATGGGAAAGTTGCCAGCGACCTGGATGACAGCTGTGGAAAATGCTGTATATTTTCCGGAAATACGGTAATTTATAGGTAAATAGATGCCCTATATTGTATTTAATAAAAGTGTATTTTTAAAAAGATGGACAG